TATTAAACTATAATATCTCCCTTTTCAGTGATAATTAAGAGATTTATAATTAAATTTTAAAAACAAGTGGGCATAGGTGTGTGTTCACATACAGCAACATAACCTAGATCCATTCAGTACAGTGGTTCCCTTTTTCTAACATTTCCTTGTTGTGGCTCTCAAGATAGAATTTCTTTTGTACCTAAATTCTTCTCAGAGGCTTGGTTTCTTGACAATTTTAATACCTACCATGGATTTGGCAGCATCATAATTTGAGCCATTAGACTGACACCAGGATACTGTTAGAATGAGGTGATTAGACACTTTTTAATAAACCAAAAAAAAAAAAAGAGTTATCAGATCCTAAAGACTGATATTTTAAATTGTTTGGAACATACTTAGACCTTCCACTTGGTGTTTTTCCAGAAAGAATACTATTCATAGGTCTGACAGAAAGAATTATACAGTATAAGGGAGGATTAAGTTGGAGATAACATCCTTGTATAAACCAGTTTTATACGTCAGAGGTGCCATTTAAGTGTAATTCATTATTGTTATAGTGTGATGAATTCAGGCTGGCTGCTTGCTTCCAAAGAATGCATGTGTTTTTCAGGTAGAAATATCAGAAACAAATCTACTAATCAGAAATTAGTGAAATTTTTCTTATCACTTATATCAAGTCTTTCCTTCAAATCTGAAGAGTTTTCTACCCTCTCAGTTGTGTGAAATGGGAAACTGCCAATCAGAAAGAACAATCTATAACTGAGTTGAACCCTAGTTTCATTTCCTTGTTAGACTTTAGTGATCTTAGAATCTGTCTGGTTGTTATAATGTTCTAGATTTGGAAATACAAGTAGAACATATACTTGCTTGCCCTCTATCAGGTCACCAAGACTAAAATCATGAATATTCTGAAATTTTCACTGGCTAGAATATGGACAAGTTGTCATTTATACAGTTAATATATTCTCCTACTAGGCTGTTTCATTCCATATGTTTGAAATATGGGTGATTTGTTTGTACTTTTGAAGTAAAACTTCAAACTCATTATTTTTTTTCCTTTATTCTATATTAGACTACCAAAACTTGCTAAAATCATTCTAGATCTTTCACGAAAACTTAGTATCATGAGGATATTGCTTTCCCTAGACCCATTTATATGTGTATTTATTTATTTTTTTCCAGAAAGCACTTTCTAGGAAACCAGCATCCATCAGGATAAATATAGAAAAAAGAGGAGAGTTTCCCTTTAACATCCAGCAAGGTCTTTCAACTGCTGTACATTACCAGAATTTTATCAAAAATCAGATAGGGAAATGTAAAGAATAGAGGGGAGAAACAATGGCTTGTTAGAACTTTCCACAGCTAATTAAAGGTGGATTAAGGGTTAAGATTATAATGTCCAGTATTGTTTTTTTAAACCAAACTTTATTAAAATATAATCCATATGCCATACAATTCACTCATTTAAAGTGTACAATTCGGTGGTTTTTAGTATATTCATGAGGCTGTGCAACTGTTACCACA